GCCCCTTGCTGCTGGCATGGACCGCGGCGCGGCACGATGGGGGCGACGGCGGTCGACCCCTGGCGCGCTGGCGGTGGGGGGGGCCTCTCCTTGAGCCAAAGTAGCTTGAGCCAAAATGGTTGCGGACCCTCCTCCTCCTCCTCCTCCTCCTCCTCCTCCTCCTCCTCCTCCTCCTCCCTCCTCCTCCTCCTCCCTCCTCCTCCTCTCCTCCTCCTCCTCCTCTCCTCCTCCTCCTCTCCTCCTCCTTCCTCTCCTCCTCCTCCTCTCCTCTCCTCCTCCTCCTCCTCCTCCCTCCTCTCCTCCTCCTCCTCCTCCTCCTCTCCCCGTCCTCTTCCCCATCCTCCTCCTCCTCCTCTCCTCCTCCTCCTCCTCCTCCTCCTCCTCTCCTCCTCCTCCCTCGTCCTCCTCATCCCCCTCCTCCTCCTCCTCTCTCTCCTCCTCTCCTCCTCCTCCTCCCTCCTCCTCCTCCTCCTCCTCCCTCTTCCTCCTCATCCCCCTCCTGCCCTACTCCTCCTCCGCCCCCACAGCGCGCGCCTCGCCGCCACGACGCCGCCGCGCGTGCCGCGCCGCCGCGCCGCGGCACCGGCGCGCAGCCAGGCGGCCCAAGAAGCGGCCAGGAGCCGCCGCGAGCGGCCAGCCGCGCCTCGGAATCGGCGTCGGCGTCGGCGTCGGCGTCGGCCGCGCAAGCCGCAGCGCCGCACGCCGCCGCCGCTGGACGCCGCCGCCGCCGCAACGGTCGCGCTGCCCGCAGATGCCGCCGCCGCCATCGCCTCCGTCGTCGCCTCCGCCGAAGTCGTCGTCGTCGTCGTCGTCGTCGTCGTCGTCGTCGTCGTCGCCGCCGCCGCCGTCGTCGTCGTCGTCGTCGTCGTCGTCGTCGTCGTCGTCGTCGTCGTCGTCGCCGTCGCCGTCGTCGTCGTCGTCGTCGTCGTCGTCGTCGTCGTCGTCGTCGTCGTCGTCGTCGTCGTCGTCGTCGTCGTCGTCGTCGTCGTATTCGTCGTCGACGTCGTCGTCGTCTTCGTCTTCGTCGTCGTCAACGTGCCCGCTGTCGTTGTCGTCGTCGTCGTCATCATCGTTGTCGTCGTCTCCGTCGTCGTCATCGTCGTCGTCGTAGTTGTCGTCTTCGTCGCACTCCGTCGCCAAACGCCGCTCATACAAAGAACCTCGTGCGCCGGCAGATCGCCAATGTGTGGATACCCGCATCGAATGATTTGACGCTCCCGGGGCCCAGCGAAGGCAAGGCTGCAAACGGCACGAAACCCTGCGTTGTGTTTTTTGTTCCACGATGTGAGGCGCGATGGGGGTGCGGTGTTCGGGTCAGAACTCAAATCTCCAGCGGGAATTTGGAACGATACGGACTGTTATCGGTAAAGCGCAACTGCTGGAGAGCATCCCGAAGCTGAATAACAGTAATCCAGCCTCGGACGCCTGGTCGAAGTTACTTCGGGGACCTCATCAAGACGCTCATTGAAATTCACCTACCGATGGACAGCCCCCGATTCCAGGAAATTATTGCGGTACCTGAGCAACAGCAAAACAAATAACTACTGCAGGATTCTAGCTCGCCAGTCGCTGGAAAATTGAGGCGGCGGCTGGTGCATGCGAAGTAACTGCGCGCGCGTCCCCCTTCATAAATGACTCGCCCAGGGATATTCAACGACTGTTTTGCGCGCCGACGTCTTCGCTCCCCCCCAAACAGTGTGGCGTCGATGGTGCCAAAGCGACTCCAGCGCGGGCAAGGTTGAAGCGGTCCCTCGCCACATCCGGCACCAGACTCCACGCCGCTTCCACGCCAGCCCAGCGCCCCAACTTCGTACAGACTCCCAAGACGGCCTCAAGTCAGTCAAACGAGGCTTCCAAGACGGCCCAAGGGAGGAGGAGGAGGAGGAGGAGGAGGAGGAGGAGGAGGAGGAGGAGGAGGAGGAGAAGGAGGAGGAGGAGGAGCCCATGGCAAAGATTCTCGACGCAACAGCCCCCCCCTATGTGACCCCTCCCTCCGCGCCGCCTTCCTGCCTCGATTCCTCCTTCTTTTCCAGTGTGCCCTCTGCCCCGGCGCGCGGCCCGCTGGCTTGCCGAACGCGCTGGCGACCGCCAGGGCTCCCGACGACAGCAAAACAACACTTGTCTCGTGTCAAACCGCACGCCCGCGGAAAGAAAGCATTCCCCCTTCAACCCCTGAGCCATGCGTGTGCATGGGGTACTGAAATTTGATGGGCGGGCGGAGCGGCGAAGCCGAACTTTCTTACCACCAGGGCGGACCCGCATGAGTGAGCAGGGTTTCGCTATACCATCTCACAAGTTTCTGGCTCCGCCCAGCCCTCCTGGGAAGCCCACCAGAGCGAGCGGGATGTGGCTATACCATGATATGTCTCCAGTGTCGTGCTCCTCCATTCTTTCCAGGGGGGCCCCGCCAGAGCGCCAGGGTGGCCCGCCCAGAGAAAGAGAGAGAGAGAGAGTGAGAGAGCGACGTGTGGCTATACCACGTCACCTCACTTGCTTTTCGCCCCTCCCACCCCGCCAGGGAGACCCTGCCAGAGCGAGCGAGGTGTCGCTATACCGGCTGTGCCATTATATTTATCAGGTTCCGTGCTCGTCCCACCCCATCCAAGGAATGCCCAACAAGAACCAAGAGCGCAGAAGATCTCTTAGGCTTCGTGCTCCTACATCCGTACACCGTACATGCCTACATGCGACTTGCCGGGGAAACCTTTTACGATACCCCCGGCGAACCGAACTTTCTTATACCCGTGGGGTGACTATCACCAGCACAGAATTAAGCTCCTTCTGGCCTGCGGGCCGCAGCCCTTGACCCAGACCGCGAGGAAAACAGGCCTTTCATGGCCGCTCCCGGCCGCCTTCGCGGGCGGGCGTGTGCAATGCTACGACGCAGCAGCACAGAGGAGGAGGAGGAGGAGAGCACGTCGCCTGGGGGGACACCATCCGTCAGCATCAGCCAAGAGCGACAATCGCGGCGTGCCTCGCACGCAATGTCGAGGTGTAAGTGCCTTGTAAATGTGGAGGAGGAGCAGCACAGAGGAGGAGGAGGAGGAGGAGGAGGAGGAGGAGAAAAGACTAGGAACAGACAGGGAGGAGGAGGAGGGAGGAGGAGGAGGAGAGGAGGAGGAGGAGGAGGAGGAGGAGGAGGAGGAGGAGGAGGAGCAGCACAGAGGAGGAGGAGGAGGAGGAGGAGGAGGAGGAGAAGAGACTAGGAACAGACAGGGAGGAGGAGGAGGAGGAGGAGGAGGAGGAGGAGGAGGAGGAGGAGGAGGAGGAGGAGGAAGCAGCACAGAGGGAGGAGGAGGAGGAGGAGGAGAAAAGACTAGGAACAGACAGGGAAGGGGTTGTTTGCGCCCGACGCGAGGGGGCTCGCCCGGGCGCCCTGACGGCGCCCTGCTGGCCGTCGCCGGGGAGACCAAGAGGTGCCAATGCCGCTCCTCCCTGGACCTCAGCCAGGGTGTTGGGCGCCCGAGTTATCCGGGGTAACTCGGGTCTGGGGTAACTCGGGTTTGGATTCCCGGAAAAGGAACCCGAGTTAGCCCTGACCCGAGTTATCCCTGATGATTCGGGGCTCTGGACGCCCGAGATATCCGGGGTAACTCGGGTCTGGGGTAACTCGGGTTTGGATTCCCGGAAAACGAACCCGAGTTATCCCTGACCCGAGTTACCCCTGATGATTCGGGGCTCTGAGGGTGTGCTGTGGCGGCGCGCACAAGGGGATGGAGGGACGGGGGAGGCCTTCTTAGAAGGAGGCTGTTTCTTAGAAGGCGCCGGCCTTACATCTATTGGTAAGGCCCGCGCCTTCTAAGAAGCAGGGGTGCTTCTAAGATGCCCTCCCCCCTCCCCCCACCCCCCTCTGCGCATGGCCGACCTCTGCCGGGGCGAACCCAGCGGTGGCGACGAGGGCCTCCCAGGAGGCCCAGACAAGGGAAAGCGAGATAATGGTAGCGGTGTAGTTGAACAGGGACCCGCCGTCCCGGCATTCCTGTAGGCCTACCACGACAGGTTTCTAGAACCGAGTCATGCTCTAAGACCTGAAGCAACGTTCTCAACACGTAGGGCCGATGCATGAGAACAAGACATTCGGCAGACACGCGCTAAGCACACCCCGCGCAGAGCACCAAAGGTTCTTATAACATTATTTGGTGGGCCTATGTTAGAAGAAAAACAAGTGCCAGAAACATACACTTTTGGCGCTCCGCGCGGATTTCTTCGATCTGCGCCAGAGCCCCCTCCCGCCGCAGGCGCCGCCGAGGAAACCCAGCGCCGCTCCGAGAAATCCGCGATATGGGCAGGCCACGACGCTTCGCCGCTGCTCGACCTGGGCACCTTTTCCTCCTCTGAGAGGCCGCCTGGCCGGCCGTCACCGCGTCCCGCGGGGCTGAGGGGCAACGATATCGGGGGACTGGCATCGGGGGGGAGGCATCGGCCTGGAATCGGCGACACATCGCCGATGGAGATCGGCGATAGGCACCCGGCTATGGGAAGTCCGCACCGTCCTGTGCAGCTTGGGGCTGTCGGGCCCCCAGCCAGCGGCGATCAATGGGCGATTGATGCTCCCATCGCACGTAAGGACCACATCCGAGAAATCATTTCGAGCACCCGGAAAAGTGTCGAAACAGTGTCGGACGAGTGTCTCCCAGGGTCCGACACGTAAAAGCCCTCGCCTTTCAGTACTTCTCTGGTGCTCGAATTTCTTTCTGACGCTCAAGGCTAAAAAGTAAGTAGGAAAATCATAAGATTGGGGCTCGATGCATCCCCCCTTATGCTCAGGTCGGGCATGTCCTCCTACAGGCGGATTTTAGAGGAAAATTTAAAAATACCACAGAAATCGACCCAAAAGCCTAAACTAGTAAAACAAAAAAATCGTCCCCAGACTATGTTTTGAATATGTTTGGATATTCCTCCTGTAGAGGGACACGCCCGACTTACCCTTATGCCCATCCCCCCCCCATCGTTGCCCCCGAGGGGCGGGGCGGCCCACCGCGCCGCACAGCCCCCGCCGCTCACCGGCCCGCCCGGCGGCCGCCGCCGCCCGCGCCCCGCGGCGCGGCGCCGCCCGCGCCCGGGCTGCGGCGCCCCGTCCACTGGAGCAGGTCCGCGGGCCCCCGCCACTGACCCTGACCTTCCAAGAGAGCTAACACAATAGCACCAGACTAAAAAAAAAACGATCCCAAAGCTAGTCTGCGTCTTGGTTTTGACATGTTTCGTTTAGTTTTTGTTGGCCTCCAGTGCTGAAAAATAGCTCTCTGGAAGGTCAGGGGACGAGGGGGCGCTCCGTGCGCTTCGGCCGGGCAAAAAGCCCCGGGCGCCACGCCCTTCTGAGCGGCCCCGGCCCCCCCTTGTCGCCCCTCCCCGGCCGCCGCCCCGCCGTCCTCCCCCCCCTCTCGTGCATGGTGGCTCCATTCGCTGGACGCCTGCCCCGTTTCGCTGCGTTCGCCAGCGCGGTGGCTCTGCCGAGCCGCCGACGCAAAAAGTGCCTCGGCGGCGAGCCCGGAAGGGAGGTGAGAATGGGGTGGGCCTTCTCAGGAGGCTCGGAAGTCCCCTGGCCTTCTGAGAATGTGTTTTCTGAGCTTTCCCCGAACGCGCAGGAAACAGCTCAGAAGGCGCGAGGGCTTCCGAGAAGTCACGCCGCCTTCTGAGAAGGCCTTCTCCTTCTCACTTCCCCCCCTCGCTCGCCGCCGAGTGCTTGGTGCCTGCTTCAGCGACCACTCTGCCCTGAGACCATGGCGTTGCAATCTTTTCACAACGGGCGTTTCGCCCCGATTCGGACCCAGGACCCTGCGGCTCGAAAAAGGGCGCAAGCAAGATGGGGGCGCCGGTCGTGACTGGTTGCGATGCGTTGCGATTTTTGTCGACACGTCGGATTTCAGGGTGTGGGCCATGTAAGATTTCAAAATCTGCCTCTACCCGGCCCCTGGCTCCGGCCATCGCTGCCTCTGTCGCAGGCGCGCCTTGGCGCCTTGCACTCCGGCCCCCCGCTTCGAACTGCATGTTTTGAGCGGCCCCCGCCCCGTGCCCGTCCCTCTTCTCATCCCTTTGGGAGACCCAGAAGGTGGTCAAGCTGCAAGAGGGTGGTGCAATAGTTTTGGGGCAATTGCATTGAAAATTGATTGCGCCGGAAGATTGTATTGCAGTGTATTGCAAGTAATGCATTGCACGCGAAAATCCAGCAATACCCTTGTGCCCCAGAATGTATCACACGCCCCAAATGTTGAGCAGGGGCCGACCGTCCCAGCATTCCTACAGGACTACCACGACATTCTCTTCGAACCCCAAAAATGTTCTAAGAAAACAATGTTCTTAGAACATGAACCCGACGTGGTAAAACAAAACAGTTCCACCCAGTAATGCTCTAAGAACATTTCGTGGAAACAACTGAAGGTTATTGGATCATTGTTTGGTAGGCCTGCAGGCACGCCATGACGCTGCGCCACTGCTTGAACACCCCACACGTCTATTGCACCCCACACATCTATTGCACCACCCCCTGGTCGCTGGACCCCCTTTGGGGTCAACCCGAATCCCTTTTTTCGACGGTGCCTCAAGTCGATATCGGGCGCGTCCCGCCTGTAGCCCGACCAGCTCCTTACTGGTCTCGCACCCTTGCGCCCGCTGGCTCAAAATTCGTTGCCTGCGCCATGGGAGCCTGCATGAGTTGGCGGCGCGCTAAAGGGGGTAGGGGGAGGGGGGAAGGCTTCTTAGAGGGAGGCTGCTTCTTGAAGGCGCCAGCCGTACATCTCTTGATAAGGCCGGCGCCTTCTAAGAACCAGCCTCCATCTAAGAAGCCTTCCCCCCTCTCCCTTACCCCCTTTAGCGCGTGGCCGAATGGCCCCCAGTACTGTCGGGTTTGGGCCTGATTCGCCCCTTTCACAAGGGAGACGAGAAGAACGGGGAGTGGGAGGAGGAGCAGGAAGGAGGATTCTGGAGGATCCCAACGTATCTGGAAGGCCCGCTTCTAGAGCCCGCGTCGAGCAGTCGTAAATGGGAGAAATCGGAGAGAACTCGGACTGGCCATTGTCATGCCTCCGTGCTCCCCTGAGGCACGGCCCACATGTTGAGCAGGGACCGGCCGTCCCAACATTACTATAGCCCTACCACGAGATGTTCTTGGAAACCAAAAATGACGACAGAGTAACAAAAACAATGTTCTAAGAGCATTAACAAAATGAAATAAAACAATACAGTCTCAACCAGAAATGTTCTAAGAACTTCTCGTACAAACCACAAAAGGTTATTTAAACATTATGTGGTAGGCCTGTTGGCGAGCCAAGAGGCTTCGCCACTGCTTGAACATGGCGACCCCAACATCCGACCTTGCCGGATTTTCGACCGGGTTGGGGAAAGAGGCAAAACACATCGGGGCACAGCTTGGGGATGCACGATGGTGCGAGGGGGGGCGGTCGGGACGTCCATCCTCAACATGGGGTGCGTCCGAATGTAGCCCCCACGGGGGTGCATCCCAAAGTTCCCCACCTTGTCTAGACGGCAGAAATTCTCGTTGGGGTAAGAACTTGGATGCGGACATTCTTCTGTTCCATCCTGGCGATTTGGTCTCGGCCTCTGTGTGAGACAGCCTTCGGGCCCCGGGGCCATCAGTAGCACGCCGTCCAGGCCGGCCTCCCTCGCTGCTTGACTGTGCGTGTCCCTGCCTCTCTCCCCCCGTCAGCTCTCACGGGCATCATTTCTGGATGGGCTGGTGGGGATACGCTTAGGTCGGGCATGTTCCCCTACAGGCGGATGTTGGACGATTTGTTTTTTTTATGAGACACCAAAATGGTCAAGAATAGAAGAACAAATCGTCCCCAGACTATTTTTGATTATGTCTAAAGATTCCTCCTGTAAATGGATTGGCCCGACTTAAAGGAAGGAGTCCAGACCTCTGTAGCCTCACGGTCTGCATCGACAATTTCTATCCGAAATCTGGGCACACCCCGGCGCAGCGAGAAGACCGCGACGGCCAGGACGGCTGGACTGGCCAAGGCGGACGACGAAGACGAGGAGGCCGACGAAGCGGGCGAAGAGGAAAACGCGGACGAGAAGGACCCAGACCACCCGACGTCATGATTTTTTCATAACGTCGACCCCCAAAGCTCTCGACCCCTTCCCCGGGACCCGTCCCGGGACCCGTTCCTCATCCTGAGCCGTCTTTTGACTGTCCCGAGGCCCAGTGAGGGCCCCCAGATGCCGAAATGGCAAAGAGAAAACCTCCCATCATGATTTGTGCACTGCTCGAGGAGGTCTGGGGACCTGAGTATCGTTTAACCGATCCCCATCCCCACCAGCGGGGGCTGGGCCCCACTGGCCGATTTACCCCCCTAGATGGGGAGATTGGCAGGCCGTATCCTTCGGGTTTCGAGGGGTGTATCCCCAACTGGGGGTGTAATTTGGTGGGGGTCTCGAAGGTTGGAGGCCTGGAAATGGGCACCAACACCAACACGGGGGTTTGCCTCCACAGGGGGAAGATGATCCTAGATTTCGGCGTTGGTGGTAATATTTCGGCCACCTTGGAAGCCAGAATATTACCACCATCACCGATAACGAGATCTTCTTCCCTCGGTGGAGGCACACCGCCGATATTAGTGTTGGTGTCAACCTTTAGGCCTGCGAGAAGGGGATGAGCATGGGGATGGGGATCGGTTCAACGATACTGAGTCTGAGGACCAGGACGGAGACGAACCGGGAGAAGCTCCGCGCGCGACACGGGCGGCAGGCTCCAGAGCCTCGCCCGCAACGCCCTCGGTAACCGCCATGCGGGCGGGGTGGAGGGCTCCCCAAGGCCTTACAGTCATCGGCCTGACCGAAGGAACGATAAAGAAGGAACGAAGCCTATCTTTTATCCCAAGGAATGGCGCATAGGGAACGATACATAACAAATAGCGCATAAGGAACTGTAAACAACGCATGCAAGCCTAAGGAACGACCGAGCCCCTTTTGAAAAGCAAGTGTTCCTTATTCAAGCCGCTCACTGTATGTTGCTCCCGTCGTACTCACGGACCACATCCCGGGAATGATTTCCGGCACCCGGAAAAGGGTCGAAAGGGTGTCGAACCAGTGTCGGACGAGTGTCTCCCAGGGCCCGGCACGTGAAAATCCCCATGGGTTTCGGTATTCGTCTGTTCTTTCTGGTGGCCAAGTCTACAGTAGGTTGGAACATCATAACTTGACACAGGCCGTGCTGTTCTCGCGAAGCGGTAGGCATCCAGCCAGCGCGCGCCGCTGAGGAAGCGGAGCTCGGAGGTCCACTCCAGGCCGGTGTGCCTCCGAAAGTCCTCTCGGGGCAGGGCGAGGCGAGGCAGTAGGGGAACGAACCATGACATAACCATAAAGACTCGGAAACTATCTATTATTTGTCGTCCCAAATCCGCCTGTAGGGGGGCTTGCCCGACCTAAATATAGGAAAACAAAGAATGACATGAGCATAACAACTCGGAGGTCCGCGCGGATGTCTCGGATCGGCGCTGGAGCCCCCCAGCGGCGCCTCCGGCGCCGCCCCTGGCGCGCGGAGCGCGCCAGGGAGGGGGGTCCAGTGCCGATCCGGGGAATCGGTGCGGACCTCCGAGTTTTTCTTATGATCATGTCATTCTTTGTTTTCCTAGACTTAGGTCGGGCAAGTCCCCCTACAGGCGGATGTGGGACGAACAATAGAAATAGACAAAAATACACCACAATGCTAAAAAATACTCAACGGATCATCCCCAGACTATGTTTCACACATTTTTGAAGATTCCCCCTGTAGAGGGACAGGCCCGACTTAATCCTAGACAACGGCAACTCAAGTCGGGGTCCAAACGCACCAATAGTTTCCGAACTGTGCCCAGCCGTCGCGAGCCCCGGGACCCCCCCGGAAGGCCAGCTGCCATGGTCCCAACTCTTGCCCCACGCTGGTCCTCGGCGCTGGCCACCAGGCAGAACACCCCGCGCCAGTCTGCCCGCTGCTGCCACAGGAGCCTGCCGAGCTGCCCATGGGCCTCGGCGGCCTCGGACTGGCCCGCGCTCCTGCGGCTGTCCCTGGCGCCGGACCAGGCGCCGTAAGGCACGTTGGTCAGGATCATGGTCTGATGGGCCAATTGTCCACCACCACTGCCATAGGCAGGAGAGGAGGGAGGAGGAGGAGGAGGAGGAGGAGGAGGAGGACCTTCCCATCCTCCCTTCTCCCCCGTCGTATACCTATGGTAGCGGTGGTGGAATATTGGCCCATCAATGGTGGGTCTCCCGGCCAGTTCACTGGCCACCTTTCTGCAGGAGGGACCTGTACAACACTGCAATGCCCGCCCTGGGCCATCCTGGGCCCTGCGATGCTTTCAACTAGTTATCCTGAGACCAGGGCGTCGTGTATTGTTGTTCCTACTGGGCGTTGTTTGCCTGGCGTCGGGCTGCGGGACCATCACATATCTGGCTGGAAAACATGCAGCACAACGATGGGGTTTAGGGATCGGGTCGTGATGCGTCACGACGCTGCAACTCTTTTACAATGTCGGATCTCAGGGTGGACTCTCCTGGCCAGTCCGGGAGGGCGTGAACACCGTGCCAGGGCTCAGGATGGCCCTGGCTAGGCACGATGGTGGTGCATAGATGTCTTCTGCGCAACCTTGGTCAGGGAACCCTGTCTGAAATGGACCCTGCAGGGGAAATCCGAGTCCGCGCCACCATCCGCGATGCGCGCCGGCACCTCGGTGCCGACGTCGCCACAACCGGCGCCCACGCCGGGGTCGTCCGATCGCCACAGCCGCCGCCTGAAACGGTGGAGGTTCCGGGTGGCCCGGTCAATCTGCTCCTGGCTGCGGTCGGTCCCTTGCAGCGTCAGCGAGCCAGCTGCGGGATGGGGACTCGGCCGGATGGGTTGGCGGCGCGCACTCAGGGTTGGGGCGAGACGGCGGAACGCCGGGGAAGTGTTCCACGAGGAGGCGGCAGAAGGGCCTTCAACTTCTAAATATCAAAACCCCTCCCTTCCTCAGGAGCCGTTCTCAGGAGGAGGGTCCCAGAACCGCCTTGCCTTCTTACACAAGGCCGGACCCGCACAAGCCACCCTCCCTTTCCAGACCTCCGACGTGGCGATGTGTGTTCACGTGATGTGGACCCCCAAGAGGCATATTCAGACCACTTCCAAAGACCGGCGTGTTATTCCGAATCAATTTCGGGGATCTTGCGAGCCCGGGCAATCCAAACCCGGGCCAGCCAGGCCTTGCAAAATCCTGAGGAATCCAGCAAGATCCTGCAGGTTCCTGCACCCAAGCCCAGGTCCGTGCGTCCCTGACCCTGCAGGATCCAGAAAGACCCGGCGCTCTGGTTGCCCCCCGTTTGCATTGACCCCGTCTCTTTCGGGAGCGGCCAAGAGGGGAGCGTCCAAGAGGGGGGGTGCAAATCATGGCCGGCGGTTTGTGCGCGGCCCTTGGGGGGGGCCAGGGACGCAACGAAATAAGACGAGGCGCCCTGAAATCTGGGCAAATATCACAGCCCCCGCCATGATGTCCACCCCCCCTTAGTCATCACCCCCCTGTCTGCCGCCCCCGAGTCTCTTGAACCCCGACATTTTTTGATCGCACTGGAGCCAGGCAAGGGCCCCCGGGGGCCGGAGAGGATAACAAAACTCCGCCGCGATCTTTCCACAAGGGCTCCCAACTTCGCGCTTCGCGCTGCGCGAAGCGCGAAGTGCGAATAACTTCGCGCTCTCGCGCCGCCTCCCAAGGGAGAAGGGGAGGATGAGGAGGAATCGGAGCCGAACCGCGAAGCGCGAATAACTTCGCGCCCTCGAGGGCGCCCTTGTTTCCACGCAGCGGGGAGGCCTCCGGACTGCGCGCCGCCAGGTGGAGCTCAGCAGGCCGCCGTAGGCCTCCTCCTCCTCGCCGTGGCAGGGGAACCGGGTGAACGGATACCTCCACGGCGCGAGACTCTGCACGGCAAGCTCGCGTCGTGACGGCCCTGGCGTTGGCTCCTGACAGCGCAGGGATCGCTCAACCCGGAACGACCAGCAGATGGTCGACCGCCACGTCGTTCCACAGTGGCCGATTCTGGGCCACTGGCGGCGTTCCGCGTCGAGCGCCCGGGCAGGGGTCGCCGTCGCGTCGACGCACAAGGCGAGCCTATCGTGTGCAGACGCCTTGCGACGAGTTCTCCTGGTGCAGTCAAGGAGTAGATGGCGGAGTAGAATGTCAGTGGCTCTCAGTGGTGATTTACACACAGCCATCCCCCCCTGCAGCCCAGGAGAAATCCTTCGGGAGGAATCTGTGCGTATTGGCATGAGTTGCATGTTCGATTCGACACTCGCTGAGCAAAACCAATATCGGCCGCTGTCGGGCAGGCGACCTCCTCTCGGATTGACCGAGGCCACGGCGACATTGACAACGGGTACGTTTAAAAACGGTAAGGGACTGCTGTCTGTCTTTGTCTCCGTTCCGTGCCCGTACAATGTGTATACATATCTACATAATACAAATCATGCTGGAACTGAAAGGCCCGGGCGGTCTTATACAATCCCTGGGTGCGAGGCTGAAGTGGGGGTCTGCGGTGCAGCGTCGGATTTTCATTTCTCTGTAAGAACTATTGCCAATCCCCCCTTCTGGTGGTGTCTTTAATGAAGTGCCCCTCCCAGGACAAGCGCTATGTTTTTACAAGGGAGAGCATTGCGCCTCCGACTTGGTTGCTGGCCCCCGAAGCAACAACAACAACAACAACATCAACATCAACCACAACAACAATAACCACAGCCACAACCACATCAACGACAACAACGACAATCATTTGAAGACTGTTCGCTCTCACTGGCACGCGTGGCTTGCAGTCCGTATACCCCGGCCCTCGATACCTCGCACTTCGTCTTCGATTGCACCCCTTTCGGGGGGAATCTATTTTTTGTCGGCCATTGACTGAAGTGCGAAGTCTCGAGCGAAAGCGCCGTTCCTGAGTCCGGGGGCCTCTCTGGCCAAGGCCTCTCAGAATACCTACGGGGAAATATCGAACGGGAGCCCTTGTCGCCGTGTACAGGCCTCCACCAACTTGCCTGAATTACGGGAAAGTCTCGAGCGCGGGCGCCGTTCCTGAGTTCGGGGGCCTTCTTGGCCAGGGGCTCTCGGAGTAAATCGCGAGGAAGTATCAAGAAGACGCCTTTGTCGTCGTGGCTGGGTCCCCGCCATCTTGATTGAATTGCGAGGGAGTCTCGAGCGAGAGCGCTGTTCCTGAGTTCGGAGGCCTCTCTGGCCAGGGTGTCTCGAAGTAAATTGTGAGGAAGTATCGAGCTGGAGCCGTTGTTGTCGTAGTTGGGCCTCCAAGGGCGCACTTTTAGAAACAAGCCAACGCTTGAACGGGAGCCTCGTTTTCAAAGAAAATGTAGCCGGCGTCAAGACGAGAGCGCCCGGAACCGTTTCCGGTGATCAACAACAATTAACTCTCCAGAAGTGAGTATTCAACAACAGCAACAGCAGCAACAGCAACATTAATCATTTTAAGACAGGTCGCTCTTATCTGCGCGCGTGCCATTCAACACGTGTATCACAACCCCTCGATACCCGCCCAAGGGCCCAGGACCAAGTTGTCTGAGCCTGGCCTCGTGTGTTCTCTCGTTGCGTTGCCCGTGTTGTTCGTCCACAAACTGGCGCACGCGCTTCAGACACGAAGTGAGGTCGCCAACGTACGTACTATTACGTGGATGTTCTATGAACTATCAACGGTTGGTTCATCATCGTATCCAGCATGTGTACTTGCGATCCAAAATCTTACAGGGTGCCCTAAACGACCACTGAAATATAAGTGCCATTGTATCCCGCTTTGTATCGGATCTGTCATGAAAGCGTGACGCTGTGTCTCATCATGCCTGCGAGGCCCATCGACGGCCGACTGCGCCTGAGGGTGATATGAACTGCCTCAAAAGCATGGGAGATCCCGAGACGATGCGACAATTCCGACACAACTCTCTCGGCAAGCGCACGTGTTCGATCGGACCCCAAAACTGCGGCGACCCGGCTATTTCGATGATCGTACACTCAACTAGACATCGCGCCGCTGATTCCGACATGATGTCTGGGGCTGGCACCGCCCAGTACCGTCCACCCCACACACCTACACATGTGAACATGTACTTGTTCCCTGAGGGTGTCTTCGGCTTGTGAGGGCCTACGAAATCACCGGCTAAGTACCGCAAAGGATCATCAGACTCGCGGTTCCGCATGCGACCTGTCGCGATAAGCTTGGCGTTCAACAACAAACACACCAACAAATGCTACACCGCGGTATTGACGGTTATCCACGCGGAATCCGCCGGCCCCCTTGTGGGGCCACCACGCTGTAGGCCGAAGGTTCGCAGTTTCCTGTACCAGTTACAGCTTCCAGTTTCCACTGTTACAATTCTGCTTCTTGCTGCTTACTGTTCCTTGTTGATGGACCGCGCGAGGGGGGAGGCCTAAAACGCGCATTTTTACGACGCCCTGAGCGTGTTGTCTGAATTGCTGGGGTGGGAAAAATTACACCTGTCAGGGTTCAAAAACACATGGGATTTGCCACATTTCTGGCTTTCGGTGGCACCCCTCACGCAGATCGGCGGGGTCAGGGTCCAAAACCACATGGGATTTGCTACATTTCTGGAATTCGCTGGCGCCCCTCAAGCAGATCGGCGGAGTCAAGCAGATCGGCGGAGTCAGGGTCCAAAAACAGAACGGGTATGCCACACTTCTGCCATTCGGTGGCACCCCTCACGCAGACCGGCGTGGTCAGGGTGCAAAAACACAATAGATTTGCCACACTTTGCAATTCGCTGGCACCCCTCACGCAGATCGGCGGGGACAGGGTCCAAAAACACAATCGATGTCCCACATTTCTGAAATTTGGTAGCACCCCTCACGCGGATCGGTAGGGTCAGGGTCTAAAAACACAGGGGATTTGCCACATTTCTGAAATTCGGCGGCACCCCTCACGCAGATCGGCAGGGTCAGGGTCCAAAAACACAGAGGGGATATGCCACATTTCTGAAATTCGGCGGCACCCCTCACGCAGATCCGTAGGGTCAGAGTCCAAAAACACATGGGATTCGCCTCGTTTCCGAAACTCAGCGGCACCCCTCACGCTGATCCGTAGGGTCAGGGTCGAAAAACAAGCACGTCCCCACACTGCTTCACGGCGGCGCCCAGACCTCATGATTTAGCTCTTGCATCTCCCATTATCCGAGACAGGGGGCTGGCGGCATGGGGCGAAGCCCTTACGGATTACCGATAGCCATTCGAACTCGCCCAATGCACGTGCAACATCGCGACGCCACAGGGGCCTTCCGTGAAGGCGGTTCCTCGCAAGGAGGGGAAGAGCTTCATCAAGGTTCTGTTTGTCGAGCCCAGAACAGCGGATCAACGCAGACGTGTCTGACTCGGTCGGTGCGACGTCACTACAACTGATCTCTACTCAAGTGACATCAGAACGCGCGCGATGTTCAATGTGGGTTTTCGAAGCAACACGAAAAACGTGCAACGCACCGAACAGTCTGCCGTTTCAGCCCCGCGTGAGACGACGTTGCACGACATGCCAAAAGCAACCGTCTCTGTCGGCTGCCGGCGTCTGCGCGCGCTTCAGACGCGAAGTGGCGCGGCCACGAAGAATGACGAAACAGTCTGACCTTGATGCAATCCTTGGTCATCCACTGCGAACGGCGCAACACGTGCTTGCCCCCCGGGCCCCGGGCCATCCACGCATGCCCTGAACGTCGCGCGCATTTCGTCCATGATCCCCCAGTCGCCGTCAGCGCACCGGAGCGAGGCGATTCCATCGCCGGCCCCTTTTGGCAGACTAGCCCTGCGGAGTAACCAGAGCGCGCGCGCTGCGTTGTCGTTTGCCGTGGTTGCGCAGCTGGCACAAGCGACCGCGTTCGGATCCAGTCGCCGCAAGACCGATGGAAAAACCAGCGTGGCGGAGGGAAGAAGGGAACGGGAACCCATTAACTCACAGCTCCTCGCGGCGGTCTTCAATGCGCTCGATTTCCAAGGGGGCGCAGAAGAAGTAAACGGATGCACCCTCAGACTCCAGGTGAACCTCTCTGCCTGGTTTGACGGCGCAGGGCTCTTTATTAAGCTCGATCCAGCCATGTGCATCTTCCACTGACAATCGCGCGTCCACGCTGCAAGTCTGCAACGCAACCGGCGGATGATTTTCGCCGGGCCCTTTCGCCCCCACTTTCACCGGCGGGCCGAGGCGGCGAAGGGGCGGCGCTGAGAACGGTCCTCTTGAGTGGGCGTGCCAATATCGCCAGGCTCCTTCCACGAGCCGCTTGGCCGGCGCAGGCGCAAGGACATGCCGGTCCCCGTGGGGTCCCACATCCAAAACCAAGACAAACGGCGCACGACGCGAGCCTGAAGACGACGCTGCGGATGACGCCGGGTTACCGGCATGTCTGGTGATGTACTGTTGTGCAGCCAATTGAGATGACAACGCGATGCGTCCTCCATGCCCCCTTACTGGCCCTGCAGAACTGTCACCGTACGCAATGTTTTCAGGAAGCAGGATATCAGGGAAATCCACTGGATGACATAAACACTTACACACCTCATGATCTTCCGTCTGTGACACTACACGACTATCCCAGCAGAGCGCTTCCAGCGTAGCGCTCTCCTACGAACGAACGCGTCGGCGCGCGGGTCCCACTTCAGCCCCACGTCGGCGATGAAACCGACATCGTAAACACTTAGTCATCCTCTCTTGTTCTCGAGGAAGCCGTTTGGCTCCACAGCCCCACAACCAAAACAACCCGGGGAATGGTGGAAGTGGGCGGGAACGCAAGCCGCATGAGCAAGAGCAGCGGCCTTCGGCCTTCCAAGGTTCAGGGCGCGGCGTTGGCCACGCGCTTGAAAGGTCAAGTTGCTCTTTGCACGGCCATCGAGAATCTCGCGCGATACATTCAGATTCACATGTTCTTCGCCATCAAATGTTCGGTGCACTTTCACACATCTTCAGCTGGGACACCAAGATTTCTGAGGTAGTTGCGAAGTTTCTAAAACTCCACGTCAGATCGAATCTAATCCCGATGGCGCAGGACTGCTGCTGCAATCGTACGAGTGGCGTGGTCCACTTGGCGCTGGGCTTCAGGCGCGAGCGCAGTAAGAGGTGCGTGAGGCTCTTCCGACGCGAAGGCACCCCTCGATACGGGCATGAAGTCGCAGCTCTCCCGCTGGGCGCTTAGACCCGCGCGCATCAAGTGCAGCGAACGAGCGGCTGTCTTGAGAGCAGTCGCGGTAGCTACGGCGTATCCCGAAGGATACTTTGCAACCTGAGGCGTGTAAGACGCGTGTCGATTCCGATCCATGCGGTCGCGCATACACTCGATCCTCAATCTCAGCAGTGAAGGCGAATTTGTCACGATGAGACAACGCGGTCTTTGGCGCCTCCATGCGCCTCCGGTGCGTTCCCCAAACGTGCGCAGACCTGCGTGGACAAAGAACAGACCAGGTTCGTCCTGTAGGCGTCGGACCTCTGGTAGCTGAAATGCGACGCGCTCGGCTTTGCATTTTCCCGACACGAGCAATCCTTACATGACTGGCCCAGCGCCCTAAGCTGCGAATCTCTACACTCGCACTACGGGGGCACAGTATATGCCATTAATCCCACCAGCCCTCTGGGCGCAGGTGGCCTAGAGCGTTTCCTTTTCCAACCTCTTGCCTTTCCCTGCTCGGGAGGTTTACCTCCCCCCCCTCCCTGCGCCTGGTGGCAGAGGGTCCTTTTTGGTCCAAGATGGCTCCAAGAGGGCCCAAGATAGCGGTAGATGGGTCAAGATAGCCTCCGAAACACGTCCAAGAAGCCTCAAGACGGCCCCAAGACGGTTTCAAGTGCACTCCGAGGCCTCCAAGGACCCCCCCAAGAGGCCCAAATCCTTCAAATACATAAGGGACATCCATGTGTTTCCCCTTCTCGCTTTTTCGCCTCCGATGGGCTCTTGAGACCTCCAGATGGCCCCAAAGCGGCCCAAGATATCCCCAAGAGGGTCCAAGAGGGCCCCAAGACGGCCCGAAGAGCGCCCAAGAGCGTTCCAAGAGCGGGCCAAGAGGGCCCCCAAACGGTATGTTTGAGCCTCCGATGGGGGGGGGCAGGAATTAAGGACCCCCTTCTTTTTTTAGCGAAAGGGTCCAAGACGGCCCCACAAGGCCTCTCAGGCATCCCAAAAGAGCCCCAAGAAGGCCCCCAGACCCCCCAAAGGAGCCCCAAGAGGGCCCCAAAACGCCCCAAATGCGGTGGTGGCACCCGAGCGAAAACAACGACAACAACAATCAGTTTAAGACTGATCGCCCTTTATCTGCACGCGTGCCACCCCATTCGTAAATCCCAAAACCTCGATGCCCGCCAATTCCGTCTTCGATAGCACCACCTTGGGGGTATATGCCTTTTTTTTACCTGCAACGTGTATTTCGTGCAGTTCATGCGCCAGGGGAACAGAGCACGGATGGAAGGAGGAAGGAGGGGGGAGGATGGAGCACGAGAGAGAATAGCAGGAGGGGGGCCAGGAGCAGAACGCACGTGGCAGAACCAGACGGGCAGATCGGGCTGATAGACCCTAACGGGCGGGTCGGGAAGGCGGGCCCAGGTGGCCAGGTCGAGGAGGCGGGTTGCTGAAGCGTGCGTCCTGCATGAATCGCGAGGAATTTTCGAGCGATAGCGGGATTCCCACATACATCGTGAGGAAATCCACAGCGAGAACCTGATTCCTGAGTGTAATACATTGTGAGGAAGTTCCACGCGAGAGCGCGAGTCCTGTATAATTTGCGAGGACGTCCCGCGCGAGAACGCGATTTGGGAATAGATTGTGAGGAAGTATCAGGCGGGAACCGTTGTTCTTAGTGCTGCTGTGGTTGTAAGCCGGGGGCCGACCAACCAATTCTGTGATTCAAAAGGTTCTCAATTAAAAATAAGGAACAACCCCCTGGAAGGGCACTTCAATTGAAAAGCGTAGATGTGCCCCAGACAATGTGTTCACGAATCGCTCCCTTGGTGCTCTGGAATCGCGTTCTCGCTGCGGACTCCCTCATAATGTACTCGGGGGCCACGCTATCGCCTGAGGCTTGAGTGTCACCCCCTCTTGCTAATCTCGCTCATCCTCCATATCGTCCATCCTTCCCTCGTGCCCCCTTCCCTCTGACCACCATTCCTCCACTCCCTTCCTCCTGGCTCTCTCTCTCCTGCTTGAAGTCTGGTTTGTCTTCCTTATGTTTTACGGCCGCGCCGAAGACAATTGGCAGGGAGGGGACATGTGCTCCAACAGGGGTCGCGATCAGCGTCGGCGAGGGAGGGCTGGGGGTATACACGTTGAGCGGCATGCCATCAATCAAGGGGTCGCCCATGGGCGTGGTCCGGGTAAGGTCGTGTTTCGACTCTGGGCGTGGCCGGCTGGGTCTGCTCTTCTTTTGGGTATGCCCGGACGAACTTCGAGCGGCGGTGGCTTTCAGAGAGCCGCTAGTGGACCCCAGCCGAAGGGGAGGAGGAGGAGGAGGAGGAGGAGGAGGACTGGACTGGACTGGACTGGACTGGACTGGACTGGAACTCTGGGAATCCACTGAGGTCACACAACGTGAGAGCCAGGCATCGCCGACTCCAATCGTACAAGTGTGCTGGATTCTGAGACGCACTGTATGCCACTAGCTTGACACACGGCCCAGCGCCGCGCTCTGCGGAGCAGCACTGGCCCTGGCCGCACACCAGCGCGCGGGCACGCAGCCGCGCTGGGTGGGCGCTCAGGCACGGGACGAGTCTTCTCCCCTCCCCCGACCCCCCGACACCCGACTGGACGACGCCCGCCCCCTCCCTCTACTGAAGCCTCTCAAGTGAAGCGGAAGAACTACGACTGGTACTGTTGGCAGCTCTGGCTGACTGTAGCTGGGCACTGCGCGTGCATTCACCCCCACGGAACGGGCCCGCAAGGCCTCGAGGGGGGCATTCTGATTCACAATACCTCTAGCTACGAGCTGCTGGAATCTGAGACTAGATTGCATTCGGCCTACTTGCGATCGCTCCCGATCAGTGATGATACTTCTCGATCCAGTGGCCCCCTCGGGGCTGGCCCTGGAAGGTACACCCCCCCTCCGCGATCACGAGCTTTTCGAAGAGCGTCGCCATCATCTGGCCCAGCTCTACATCCCGAAGGAACGTCATATAGATAGCCCCTTTCTGGGGGGTGCCCTCCTCCTTGCGGAAGATCCTCAACCGAAAGTACGGGCACGCCCTCGCCACCGTCAGCATCTCTCCCTGCCTGATGATCCCCCACATCTCCACCATCCTCTTCTTGAGTTCCTCCTGTTCGTGCTGCTGGGGGCTCGCCGACGGCGTGAACGTCGCTCCGTAGTATGCCGCGCCCATGACGATGGACACATGTTGTGGGCCCTTCTTGCGGAAGTCCACCTTCTCGCCGGTCTGGGTCTTCTCCCTGAGCTCCTTCGACTCCTGATCGTACTCGCGCCCCGCCTGCTGGCACGCCGCCACTAGGCCGCCCGACGCCAGCACCTCGTATTTGAGAAACACGGCGGACGACAGGTCGGCGAGCTCGCGGGACATCACGAGGACGAGCTTGCTCGTCGCCTGCTGGAGCCGCTCCTGCTTGTTGACCCGCCGCTGTGGTTGGAGCGGTCGCCCCCCCGCCCTTTTTGCCGCCGCCGCCGACCCCCTCGATCTCCGCCCCCCTCTTGCCTGGCTGCTTGAACCAGGAGGGCATCAGCACGTCTCCCGATCCCGATCCGCTCGCCGCCGCGGCCGCCGCTGCTCCCTCTGGCATGTTCCTGTGAAGGGTGAAGTGCGGGACGCTGGAAAGGACGATGACCACACAGGTGGTCGCACAGCTGCAGGAGGTTCGAGCCCTCGTACTGACATAGGGGACATGCCAGGGATGTTGGGGCCGTCGCAATAGACTTTAATGTTGAAGGCCCCCGTGTTTCACAACTTCCCCTGGCTAACGAACCCTGTAGGTGCCGAGCTGCGTTAGACCTGCTGCCAAATATTTGCTTACAGTTAATGCAGTTGTTGCTCGGGGTAATCTGGCGGCATAGATTGTGAAGACCGTGAACCCGACGTAAGTGGTTCATTAAATCACGCCTAGTGTAGAAGGTCGCCTCACATATATGTCCTGCCTCCAAAGACATGCCACATACCAGCCGGAACTCCTCCCCCATGACCTCCGCCTCCTCAGCGTTCTGGGTTGAGATCTTTACATGGTCTAAAATATTTAAGAACATGTCCATATTGTTGCCATCTCCTTGTCCATTTCCTCCTCCTCCTCCAGGTGGCGGTATATGTATAGAGTAGACCCTAGCCCTGAGCTCAGAGAAATCCAGCGCGACAAACTCCGAGGCCTTCTCGGCATCCCCCAAGATCTCCAAATCATCAACCAGTTCATGGAGGAGGAGGAGGAGGAGGAAGAGGAGGATTGGTGATGTAGCCAGTGTCGTGGCCGCCCCGCGACCCGCCTGCGCCTCGACCCGCCCGTGACCCACCAGCGCCGCGACCCGCGCGAGCCGCGAGCCAACGAGGTCCCGCCCGCGCTGCGACCCGCCCCGACGCCCCCTTCGCACTCTTTTGCGCAAGTGCGGGGGACTGGGCATGCATATCTCAAGCCTCCTATCTTTTTTACATAGAGAAAGGGAGGGAGAGAGAGAGAGAGGGAGAAAGAGAGAGAGGGAGAGAGAGAGAGAGGGAGAGCGCGCGCAGCAAAGAGAGAGAGAGAGAGAGAGAGAAAGGATGAGAGAAGGAAGGAGAGAGGAGAGAGAGAGAGAGAGAGAGAGAAAAAAAGAGAAAGAGAGAGAAGCAAAAAAAGAAACAGAAACAACGACAAGCAACAATACATAGGGAGACATACATAACGAAACCAAAACCGTTAGAGGGAGAGCGAGAGAGAGATGGCGGAACCTCCGCCCGCGGTCGCCCGGCGGCTGCCCGAGGACGGCGGCCAGCGCCTCGAGGACTAGGGTGCCGCTGCCGCAGAACGGGTCCCAAAGCACCAGCTCCTCCGGAAGAGGGAACCCGCAAGAGCCTGTTTTTTAAGACTCTGGCAAGTTTACTTGCATGGACGGGGGGGGGGCTGAGCCTGAAGCAAGCCGCAAACGACTGGCACGTTCGGGGGGGCGCGGAAATCACGCAAGTCGAAAGGCACTTGCACGCTAGTATTCGCTTGAAGAGGGGCGGGGGGGGGGGGGGGGGGGGCGAACGCCATGCAAGTAAACTTGCCTGAGTCGAAAAAAAACAGGCTCCAACTGGCGACTTTAGAGGACAGAGAACTGTGCACATGCACCGACTCTGGCCAGGCCCATCCTGAGCCCAGGATCGGTGCATGCGCCCTCCTGCCTTGGCCAGGGAGGCATATGCACCGATCCTGGGTCAAGGACGGGCCTCGCCAGGATCGGTGCATGTGTGTAGTTCTCTTCGCCCGAGACGGGGGGACGCTAATTCACGCCGCTTCTAAAAAGCGGCGTGAATTGGCGAGGAACCACCCAGGAAGTCGACCGCCTACCAGGAAGCCCCGAAAAGGGCTCCGGAGGCTCCAGAGAGGGCGCCCCAAAAGCGAGCCCCAAGAGCGCCCCGAGAGGGCCCTCAGAGAGCCCCAGAGGAGGAGGAGGAGGAGGAGGAGGAGGAGGAGGAGGAGGAGGAGGAGAAGAAGAAACGGAGGAGGAGGAGCGGAAGATGAGGAGGAGGAGGAGGAGGAGTAGGAGGAGGATGAGGAGGAGGAAGAGGACAGGAGGGACCACGAGGCCTCACAGATGGCTTCTTCGCCACGTGCGCTCGGGCCGCTTGCGTAGCGTATCGCCCACGGCGGCACCCGCGACACGCCGTGCCCTGCGAGCGAGCGGCGTGGCGCTCCGCTTCGAGGGGGGGGAGGCTGGGAGAGGCTCGGGACATCGATCCTCCCAACAAATCCTCCTCCTCCTCCTCCTCTTCCTCTTTCTCCTTTTCCTCCTTCTCCTTCTCCTCCTCCTCCTCCTCCTCCTCCTCCTTCTGTTCTTCTTCCTCCTCCTCCTCCTCCTCCTCCTCCTCCTCCTCCTCCTCCTGTGGACTGGGACTTGGTCCGCGCGTCGTGCCGAGGCGTGGTGGGCCAAAGCAGGCGGCGCGACACGCTAAGCCAAAATTGCCGACAGTGATATGTGTATATATACATCGACATTTCTATATATGTATACATATGTAGATATGTGCATACATAGATACATATATAGATCTGGATACACGTGTACACACATATGCTTATATCTAAATACACATCGACATATAATCACGTATACGAAGATACATCTACCTACATACGGCAAGTCCGTGTCGTGACGGTCCGGGCGCCGGTTTCTGAGACTGCGGGGTACGTTCGACCTTGAAGAAAAGCGGCCATCTGCTGGCAGGCCACTTCCTCATTTGATGCGCCTACGTGTTGGAGAAGCGCGCTGACCGCTCCGATCGGCGCTGGACCCCCTGACCCACGGAGCGAGGGGTGCTCGAAGCGGGGCGCGTCGAGACAAGGGCAGCTCAACATTAGTCCCCGGACCTCTCCCGGGGTCCAAACGCACCAAGCTCTGGAGCTGCGCCCAGGCGTGGGGACAGGGGTGCTCTCCGAGGAACAACTATCGCTGTCTCAACTCGCTCTCCTGTGATGCTGGGCGCTGACCGCCAGGAAGAATACCCCGCGCCAATCCGTCGTCTGACGTGCACCGCCGATCCAAGAGATCTGCGCGGACCTCCGAAAAATGACCAGAGTCAGAGAGCTGAACTGTGGTTTATTGAGCCTCGGTGCGTATCTTAAGTGGGATTCCGTGACCAGGATTCTCGTTGCCGAAGTCTCATTTCTAAACAAATGTTGTTGTTGATCAGCACCCGCCGGTGCCCAGTGTATTGGTCCCAGCCTCGTTGGCCCTCGTCTTGAAGAGACAGCGCCTCGCGTAACTTACTCACTCCTTCCACCTTCCCCCTCCTTCCATCCCTGTTGCTGCAATCAGCATGTCAACTACTTCGGTCACCCTAACACGTTTTCGTGGCCCAATAGGAAGCACCACCAGAAACCCCAGTGGCCAAGTCCACATGCGGCCGCCCCACCCATCTCGGCACACCCATTACACGATACGTGGCCCCATCCGAAAGCTCCAGTGACGGTGTCCCCATGCGGCCGCCCCACCCATTCTGGCACACCCCGCACACCGTTCGTGGTCACATAGGAAGCTCCACCGCATGCCACAGTGGCCACATCCACGTGCGGCCGCCCCACCCACTTGGGCACACCCTTCACGCGCTTCGTGGCCACAGAGGGGACTCCACAGACGGCCCCAGGGGCCATGCCCACTTGCGGCCGCCCCACCCGTTTCGGAACATCCCACAAAGGTTACACGGTTCGTGGCCCCGTGGGGAGCTCCTCCGAAGGCCCCGAGTGCCAAGTCCATGCGGCCGCCCCACCCGTCGGCACACCCTTCGCACGACTCGTGGCTCCATAGGGAGCTCCACAGAACGCCCCAATGGCGGTGCCGAGATGCGGCCACCCCGCCAATGTCGGCACACCCCTCACACGCTTCGTGGCCACATAGGGAGCCCCACGGAAGGCCCAAGCGGCGAAGTCCATATGCGGCCGCCCCACCCATTTCGGCACACCCCTCACGCACTTCGTGGCCACATAGGAAGCTCCACCGACGGCCCCAATGGCCATGTCTACGCGCGGCCGCCCCAACATTTTCGGAACACCCCTCACACGCTCCGTGGCTCCATCGCGAGCTCCAGTGAAGGCCCCAAAGGCCATGTCCACATGCGGCCGCCTCAGCAATTCCGACACACCCCTCACACACTCCGTGCCCCGAGAGAGAGCTTCACCGAAGGCTCTAGTTGCTGCGGTGTCCGCATGCGGCCGCCCCACCTATTTCGGCACACCCCTCACACGCTTTGTGGCCGCATAGGGAGCTCCACGGAAGGCCCCAGAGGCAGTGCCCACATGCGGCCGCCCAGCCCACGCTGGCGCACCCCATCACACGTTTCGGCACCGCATCGGGGGTTCCACCAGATGCACCAGCGTGGCCATGTTTCTTCGTGGCCTCATAAGGAGCGCCACCGAATGCCCCAGTGGCGGCATCTACATGCGGCCGCCCACCCATTCTGGCACACCTCTCACACGCCTCGCGGCCCCATTAGGATCTCCACCACATGCCCTACTGGCGGTGTCCACATGCGGCCGCCCAGCCCCATTTCGTCACACCCCTCACACGTTTCGTGCCCACATGGGGAGCTCCACCGAATGCCCCAGCGGCGGTGTCCACATGCGGCCGCCCCACCCATTTCGGCACATCCCTCACGCGTTTCGTGTGCTCCGCTGGAAGCGACAATGGCGGCGTCCATGGGCGGCCGCCCCGCCACATCTCGGCACGTTTCGGCTCGCCGCCGATCTGGTCCACCAGTGCAGGGGTACTGCGCAGTTGCGCACTTGCTCTGCCTCGAGCCTCCCCGCCGTGCAGGGCCGCGGTCAGCCGCCGCAGCAGCGGAGACGTCATCACGCAGGCCGCCGCCAGGGACTCGCGCAGGGGGGCCTCGCCGCCCGCCTTCCGGTAGCCCCGCATGTGCAGGGGCCCGGAGCCGTCAACGCTCACCTCGGGCGGGAGCCGACGGCGAAGGGGGCAGCAGTGTCTTCGCTCGGACTTATATGTGGTTCCCCTCGTGCGAAAGGGCCACATCCCAAAAATGATTCCGAGCACCCAGAAACGTGTCGAAATAATATCGAAAGAATATCGCCTCTCAGGGCCCGTCACGTCAAAACCCTCCAGTTTTGGGATTCTCTTGGTGTGATCGAAATTCTTTCTTGTGATCAAGGCTGAAATAGGTGGGCACATCTTAAACTTAAACGCTCGTTTTGGCGGCGCGCAGAAGGGTAGGGGATGGGGGAAGGCTTCTCAAGAGGAGGCTGCTTCTTAGAGGGCGACGGAATGTCATGCGTAGACAGGGTCACTCCTTCGAAGAAACAACATTTGTTCACTTGGGCGACAATCAAAAACGGGTATGACGCGGGATGGCGTGCCGACCTTACGCCAAGGATTACGCAGCCCGCCGACGCGGCACGCCACATTGGAGACGAGGGCGCTTACGCGAACCTTACGTGGGCAGCTTACGCGCGAATGTCGGCGCAGACGACCTGTTTCATTGCGTCGCTCACTGAGACGCTCGTTTTGGAGACCTTCCTGGGGCCACTCGCTCCACTCATGCGTCGATGCTGCGTCGAACGCCCATCGACCTGAGTCGAACTTGAGTCGAACCTGAGCCGAGCTGGAGTTGAACTAGAGCCGAACTAGATTCGAACGAGAGTTGAACAGATCCGTCCAGCGCCCCACAGGAAGGTCCCCCGAACGAGCATCTCACTTTACTGTGCGGCCGTGGTCATTATCAACCACGAAGCTGGAGTAGACTCGAGATGCAGTGCGGGACTGCAGCGCGAAAGCTTCGTGAACACGTGCATGCTAAACCTGCGCTGCCCAGAGACAGGCTGCTACTCCAAATCCCTTATTAGCCGTCCCCCGGGTCCGGATTTTTAAGGCGCCCTTTTTGAAACTGGGGGGGGTCCGGTTTATCAGGGCGCTTTGTGTGGATTGGAGCTTAGGTGGTCCGGATTATTAAAGCGCCCCGTCAAAGAGGGGGGTCCGGAATATTAGGTCGCATTTGGACGGGGTTCCGGATTTTTAGCGGGAGTCGATTCATACGGGATTTGGAGTACGCCGCAGCTTGCGCGGGCTTACGCGGGCCGCCAGCGCGGCACGCCTCCTTGGAAATAAGGCCGCTTCCGCGCGGCCTTACTTACGCAGGACGATCGATTTTCCTCCTGAGGTGAAAATGGCCATGAGGACTTCGCGAGACAACGTCGGCGCCGCCGAACGGACGGCGACCGGACGAGCTGTGTGAAGCAACCGGGGGGAGAGGGATGTATGTATTCATGTTCAATGGAGCCCGCTCGCGCGGGGAGTTGATGGGAGTGCGCGAGACGACGCAGGGCCCACCGTGGAAAGTTAATTACCGAACCCCCCTCCCCCATAGAATCTTAACACGGGCGGTTTGCGGGGTCCGCGGATCCGATTTCTTCCGGTCCCCTGTTTTACTCGAATAATTTAAATTTGCACAAAGTGGAAATCGGATCCGCCGTGCAAAATAAGACCGGACACGGATCTGGGAACATCCGAATGGGATCCGCGCGGACTGAAATCGGATCCACCGAAACAAACACCGAAACCATATTTGGATCCGCGCGAACTTCATGGGATCCGACGGCAATTATCTCATACGGGTCTGCTCAAGACTTCACACCGTCGTTCCCGGCCCAAGAGGAAAAACCTTTCGTCCTGGGGATGTATGCGCGGGCAGCTCACGCGCCCAGCGTCGGCGAGGACGACCCCGTTCTCTTCTTGCCATCGCTCGGACGTCCATTCCCAGTGCATCTTCTGGCTTCTGGAGCTTTTCTCGGCGTTTCGATACTGGGCGGAAGGCGGGGGAAGGGGGGTCTGGCTCCTGACCTGTGCTTAGTGCGAATGTTTGCAGGAGGGCATCCATCATGGGCGAGGCTCCTCCCGCTCGAAGCAGGCGCAAAGAACAGCCAAGATCTACCCCATGGGGGGGGAGGAGGCGAGGGCCCGCGCCGACTGGGGGATCGACGAGGATAAGGATGAGGATGAGGATGAGGATGAGCATGAGGAGGAGGAGGAGGAGGAGAAGGTAAAGAAGACGGAGACGACGGAGGGGGAGGAGGAGGACGAGGAGGAAAAGGAGGAGGAGGAGGAGGACACGGAGACGGAGGGGGAGGAGGAGGAGGAGGAGGAGGAGGAGGAGGAGGAGGAGGAGAAGGAGGAGGAGGAGGAGGAGGAGGGGAGAGGAGAAGGAGAAGAGTAAGGAGGAGGAGGAGGAGGAGGAGGAGGAGGAAGAGCTCTTCTTCACGAGCTGATCCAAGATGCGCTCCTCGGTGCTTCTCGCCGAAGGAAAACCCGCAGACGCCCGAGCGGTGCCACGTCTTCCCCGGCGCGCCCGCCTGGCACTCGTCGTGCCGCAGGCGCAGCCGGACGGTGGTCGCCGCGGCCTGCCGCCGGGGCTGCGCGCGGGCCCCGCTGGCGCCAGCCGCGGCGCCCTCAAATCCCAGATCTCGGGCAGGGCCACCTGCGCTTGCCGCAGCGCCGCCTGTGCACCGTTTAGCCGATCCCTATCCCCGGCAGCATGGCCTGGGCCCCACTGGCCGATGTACCCCCCTGGATGGGGATGCAGGCTGTTCCGATCGGGTTCTGAGAGGCAGATCCCCAACTGAGGTGGTGAGACGGTGGGGCCCGAGACGTCGAGGGGGATGGGGCTAGGGATCGGTTCAACGATACCGACCACCGGCGCTGGCCGCAGCGCCGCCGGAGCCCGCGTCGCTCGCAGGGCCGAGAGCGGCCGCGCCAGCGCCCCGCGCCGCTGGGGCGGCGGCGGCGGCGGCCGCGGCCTCCGCGAGCAGCGCACGGCGTCGATGCTCCACCGCGTCCAGCGCGCGCTCACGCACCATGCGCTCGTGGTAGAGGCGGGACCGGTCGGAGGAGACCACGATGTCCGCCTCCACTGGCTCCTGCGGAAAGAAGATGCGTAATCTAATGGAGCCCGCGCAGCCGCGAATAAAAGTGAGGGGGCGGCGGGGTCGTCGGGAGGATGCCCGAGGCTTCGAGCAAGCCCGCCGCAGGCGCCTATGTGGTCCACATTACACAACGAGCCCGCCGAACGCGCCGAATTCTAGTCAAAGCAGTGTGGGTGGGCCTCGGGCGCCTGGTGGGCACCCCGTGCGCCTGGGTGGGGTTGCCGAGGTCTCGCTCGGCGGGCGGTCGTGAGCGCCTCGCGGGCGCCCCGTGCGCTGGCGCTGCCGAGGTGTTTCGCCCGGTGGGCGCCCGTGGGCTCGTGGGCGACGCGTGGCTCGTGGGCGCCCCGTGCGCGGGGTGGGTCTGCCGAGGTTCCGCGTGGTGGCCGCCGGTGAAAGCCCAACGGGCTGGCTGCACAGCTTGCACCATGGTGGTTGCACCGCATAGCTCGCACCACGTAGCGTCCGACGAGCAGCTTGCAACACGCATGGGTTGGACCCTCACGCCGCGTCGCCGGCACCGCGCAGCCCGCACACGGACGGCTGCGACCACACAACTTGCACCGCACAGCCCGCGCAGCATTGCCGGCACACGCATCAGTGCCAGACTGGGGTCAACGATGGCGACCGCATGCTTCTACATGCTTGTTCGTCTTCGATCCTGACGGGCCCCCGCCGCCGCCTCCGCTTGCGCGGCCCGCGCGGGGGCGATCGGCAGGAAGTCCTCCCACGGCAGGCGCCGCAAGCCCGCGTCCAGCGCCGCCTTGGTGGGCGCGTGGAACGGGTCCCCGACCAGCACCCGCGCCGACTCCGCGACGCGGCTTTCCATCACGGCGCGCCAGAGCGACTCGCCCGTGCCTCGGGGGGGAAGGAGCAGTTTCTGTTGATCGGCGGCGCGTTTGGGTCCAGCAAGCGGTCATGCAAACGGCGGGACGCATCTTTTGAGAATTGAGGCGCAGGGGCGCATTCGGGCGAGGGGCGAGGAGAAAGAAGGCCACGGGCCAGCGGAGGAGGAAGCACGTACCAGTCGTTTTCGCAGTTTTGGGGCCTCCTGGGGCGGGGCCTTCATCACCATAGCTGCAGTCGCTTCAGACTCCTGGTGAGGAAACGCCTCCGCAGAAGTCTGTCGGCGTACGGTGGTTGGCGGTGCGCACACAAGGGGGTGGCGCGCGGGGGGCTAAAGCCTGAGCGGACAGGGAGATGAAGGGGAGGCAGGGGGGCAGTGCCCTGCCAGCTTCCGAGCGGCCCAAGCCTCTGGCCTCGGGGCCTTCCGGGACGACCCCGCTCCTTCCTAGAGGCGCCCCCGCCCCTCCCCCGCCTCCTCGAAAAAGGCTGGGGGCGCCCTCTTCGCCGCACCACCCTCTCAGAGATCCGATGCCCTGACTTCTCGTCTATGCCACCCCACCTGCCGATTCCAGGACGAGCCTTCCCTCCCGCGTCGTTCCCTGGCGATGACGGCCCGGCCCCCCCAAAGGCCGGGCACGCCGCAAAAACCGCCCTCGCCGATTCTCCTGGCGTGGCGCGCGCTGCCGCTGGAGGTCTGGGCCGATGTCTGCGCTGCGAATTGTTCCTCGACTGCCCCGGAGCCCGGGCCCCCAGAAACCGACCAACACGGCGAAACCACGGCCCGCGCCGCTCCCTCCTGCCGCGCCGGAGGTCTGGGCTGGGCGCGCGCTGCCGCTTCTCTTGGCCTGGCACGGACGGGTCCTGAGTGGGGCGGGTGGTTAGTGGGGGGGGCCTACAGTCGGGGCTGATTGGAATGGACACGCGAGAGGACACAAGACCCATCCGAGGGCCACGTTGTCATAGGGGTGTAAGAAGGCACGGGCCGCGCAGGTCAGGACACGAGGGTACACTTAGTTTGGCAAATCGACCTCCTGACCCGTCTCAACTGTACATGGGGGGAAGAATAACCGAGCACAGACGATAATAGTACCCCAGGAATCAGAAAGTTCGGGGTTCCGGCGGGGATAATAACATATGATCCCAGGGATGAGGATGATGATGAGGATGCTGATGATGATGATGATGATGATGATGATGATGATGATGATGATGATGGCGCTGCTGAGGATCACGATACTGTTGATGATGATGATGGCGATCCTGGGCGCTCGGCACAGTTCTGACTCGAGAGATATCAAGACTCGAACCTATACAACTGGCCAGCAGGCGCTCGGCGCAAGGCTGACTCGAGAAATCTCGAGAGTCGTGGCTATAGAACTTGCCAGCGGGCGCTCGGCACAAGGCTGACTCGAGAGATCTCGAGGCTCGTGGCTACACATTGCCAGCGCAAGAGAGGTCCTTGGCAGGTCTGGCCAAGGAGCCTCTTTTGCGCTGGACTTCGAACCGCTCTCCCACGCAAGCACGGCATCCTTTGGAGCCGCCCTTGCATGGGAGACACTTGCTGCAAAGCTGGGCGGCGGCGCTTGCCTCCTCGAAGGTGGCGCGCTTCGGCTCGGCCGCCGCGGGGTCCTTGCAGGGGTTGGACTTGCGCTTGGCCTGGGCCATGGCCTTGGCCGTCGCCCAGTCGTCGTCGACGGCCTCCTTGAGTTTACTGAGAAACTCGTTGCCTCGAGCGACCATGGTGTTGAGGCTCGCTGGCATTTGGTGGCCCTCGCCTCGGATCTCGCGCAAGGCGCGCTCGATCCAGCGACTTGTCCACGGGCCGCAGCCCCAACCGCCTGCCTGGGGCCGTTCGCTGCTCGGTGCTGGGCAAGTCTCGCCGGAGCCAACGGCGCCGAGCTTGCGGGGGGTCCTCGCGGCGGCCTCGGGAGGCCACGCGCGGACCCCGCCCGCGATTTCTGAAAGGGAGGGCGGGGGTCACTTCGCTCGGCAGCTCCCGAGCAAAGCGAATCAACCCTACCTCCCCCCCCCCCCCCAGAAATCGCAGGGCGTATAGGTGCGAGTTCGCGCGTGGCCCTTTTGGGCCTGCTTGGCGTTCTCGGGCGGCTGCTCGAGGGCGTCGCGGTGCTCCGCCGCGACGCCGCCCCCGTCGATCCTCGAGACCTGGTGGGAATTTCTACTAGTGCCCCCTGCCCGGGGTGCCTCCAGGATTCGCTCCGCACCGGAGCGAAACGCTGGAGGCGCCTCGGGGGGGGGGGGCACTGTAGCAACCGCAGACCTTGAGGCGCGAGTAGTGCGCGGGGGCCTCGGAGCGCACGCAGACCAGCACGCGGTGGGCCTCGTCGACCCTCTCGGCCTAGCGCTTCTGCTCCTCGGGCTGCTGGGCGGCGGGCGCGCCCTGGCCCTGGCCCCCTCGAGCCCGGGCGACGGCCGCCGTGGGCTCGACCGCCAGAACGGTCTCGGCGGCGCCCGCGCGCTCCTCGATCTCGCCCAGCAGCGCGCGCACTGTGCCCAGCTCGAGGGCGTCGCCCTTGACGATCCTCTCGCAGTTCATGACCGCGTGCTCCTTGGCGAGCTCGGTACGGCGAGCAGCCCCGCATGTGCGGCACGGGGGCCTCGTATAGTCCTGCTCGATCGTGACCTGTGGCGCTCGGGATTCGCAAGCCCTCGTTAGCTTTCGCCTGCTTCCGCTTTGCGTTGCTTCCGCCTGTTTCCGCCTTTGTCTCTTTGTCTCTCCGCCCACTTCCCCATGCTTCCGCCGCCCCATGCAGGAGCCGGCGGAGGCTAACGAATGCCCGTGACCCTCCCGGCCTGGCTGCTCTCGATCTGGAAGATCGCCGCGGTCTCCACCTCGAGGGCGCGCAGGCGGCGCTCGTCCTCGGCGCCCGGGACTCGCCGGGCGCCCCGCACTCTGCAGAGCCTGCCCTCGTGGACGCCCTCCTCGGCAACGCGCGCCACCTTGCCGTGCCGGGGGGGGGCCCTCGCAAGCCTCGGGGTCGTTTCTCTGCGCAGGGCCTTGTTTTGCTTTTTGGTGGCGTGTTTCCCCGCTTGCTTCTTCTGCTCGCACACGTCGGAGAAGCTCGCGCGCGCCTTCGGCGGCCCGCCTGTGAGCTGCGCCTCGGCCGCGCCTCTGCTGAGGTGCTCGAGCGAGGTCTCGCCGCCAGTCTTGGCCTTCTCGCGCTGCCACTTGCGAGCGCCTTTGCTCAAGAACTGGCCCGCGAACTTGGACGCCCACCTGTTCTTGCGACAACTTGTCCGTTTCAGCTCCATCCTGGTCTCGAGGGCGCGCGGAAAACTTGATCTCATTGATCCGCTCCTCTGGCGTTCTGATATTGTCCTTCTGCTCGTCGCTCGTCCTGCTCGCACTCCTCCGGCAAGTCGCCGTTGTGGAAGCAGTTGCCGTCGAGGACGCTCCATTCGGGCACGGGCGGCACGCCCTCGGGCCAGCTCCGGTTGCCCTCGAGGCGCTCTTTCGCCAGGCTGTTCTCGATGCCGCGGGCGGGCGCGATGGAATAGCTCCACGGCCCCATGCCAACGACGACATTGAGCTCGCCTTGCTCTGTCGACCGGACCGCGAGCAGTTGGTTGGGTTGCAACCCTTGGAGCGGCACCGCGTCGCTGTTCTGCTCGCGGAAGCGGGTGCAGGCCTCGGAGACGCAGTAGAGGCACTCGTAGGGCCCTCATTGTGTCGAGGACTTGTGTCCCTTCTGGGGCTCGTCCTTGGCCTCCTGGATCCAGTCTTGCTCCATGGCCAAATGCATCTCGACTTTGACCTCTCGGATATTGGCTTTGAGCTGGCTGTGCTCGAGGGTGTCAGGCTCTTGCAAGAAGCTCGTGACGTCGGGGGCCATGGGCGCGCGGATGACATTATTGAGCCACGGTCGTGTCGCTGTCGACGCCCTGCTTGCCCTCGGAGGCCTGAGACTGCCAGGGCCCCTCTGCGAAACCCGCGGGGCTGGCCCTGGGAGTGTAACGCCTCGGAGGCACATGAGAAGACACGCTCTTGCGCCTCTTCGGGTGGCCCAAGAAGGGGTCCAGCTGAAAAGGGGGTGGTGCAATAGATTTGGGGCAAGTGTATTGCAAATTCATTGCGCCGGAAAATTGCAGTGCATTGGATTGCAAGTAATATATTGCACGCGCAAATCCAGCAATACAATTGCGCCCCGGAATGTATTGCACGCCCTAAATGTTCTGCAACCCCACAAATCTATTGCACCACCCCCTTGTCGCTTGACCCCTTTTCGGGTCAACCCGAGCCTCGCTCCGCACATTTGTTCGCCGCAACCCGCCCGCGCGCCTGCCGCGCGCGCCTGCATTAGGCTCGCGAGCGTGCCGAAGGGAAGTGGCCCTGCAGGACTCGGGCGTCGGAGAGAAGCGCAGGCACGGAAAACTGGGCCGAGATCTTGAGCCAAAACGGTTACTAGAGGGCAGCAAATCCACCCCATAATAACCACCCCGACACGCGAGGCCGTTTAGCAAACGCACCCCAAAAATATGATCAAAAATGGCCAGGCTGCTTAGTAAACGCAGGAGGCCGTGTAGTAAACGCATGTTGTCTGGTCCAGGTGGTGTTTTCCTCCCTAGACAAAATGGTTACGGAATGCGGTCCTGGGAACTTGGAGGCCCGCATCGCCCGGAGAGAACCTCCGAGAACGACCCGAACCCCAAAACCGCGCGGTGACCCTGAATCCCCAGTGAATCACCACGCGGCGTGGTCACAACAACGTTCGACGGGGGCCCGAGGCTCTGTGGGTTATCTTGGGGTCATGTTGGGCTCTTGGGCCGACTTAAGGCCATCTTTGGAAGCATCAGGGGGTGTCGTGGCGCTATATTGGAGACCTTGTGGGCCTTCTAGGGAGAACGGAAGCACAGACAGGGAGAGCTTCAATTCCACACAACAAACACATGCGAATCATTGTTTTTGGCCACCTCCGGGGCCCTCTTTGTTGTTTTTTTGCGGGGGGGGGGGTCTGAGAGAGCTCCTGGTCCGTCGAGCCCCTGGTCCGTTGAAAGCCTTCGGAGGCCGTCATGGGGCCTTTCTCGGCCGTCTCAAATGTCACCGAAGACGGCTACGAGGGCGAATGGCCCACAGGGGAACAATGCATGTAATTATCCGATGGCGCCGACGGTTGATTTCCTCGGCGAAGCTCCCCGACGAATGCGTGCAACGCTGCAATGCCCAGCCCAAGGCTACTCGCCCCTATCGTCACCTCCGGCGTCTCTGGACGGGGAGAAAAGGGGGACCATGACCAAGGCTGAACGCGGAAACGCCGTTTCGATCTTGGTCACCGTCGATCTCGGTCAGGGCCCATTCGTGGATCATCATCACGAATTGGGGACGGCCGACATTGAGGACCATGCACAAGACGGGCATCGACACAATCATAGGGGAACCAAAAAGTATCGACACCGCTACTCCCTGGACCTCTCTTGGGGTGCTCTCTGACTACAACTTCGATGCGAATCTAGACGCGGCAGCGAGGGCCTCCCAGGAGGCCCGACGGGGCGAAAACCGAAGTAATGGTAGCGGTATGGATACCACTTTTCTTCTCCTGAGACTCGGCGACGGCCGACATGTACCATGTGATATGTACGGCAGAACACAGAGAGACACGACGTACAAATAGGGGGGCGTGCTGAGAGAGAGAGAGAGAGAGAGAAAACAAAAAAACACGTTCTCTTTCCTTTACGGAGGCTCGCGCGCGCCCGCGGCCAGCGCGCCAAGTAACTCAAGGGCCCTGCGAGCCATAGCAGCGGCAGGGCAAAGAAGGTAAGAGCGAGGCGCAGGAAGAAGCGAGGCTGAAATGGGAATGGCAACCGCAAACCACGACCAAAATCGACATCGACTGACCATGACCGGGTACCGTTCCCTCCTCTGAGACTCGGCGACGGCCGACATGGAACATGACCAAGATTGACGGGCTTGTTATCCACCACCACCACCACCATAAGTTGGATGGGGGAAGGTGGAGGATGAAGAGGAGGAGGAAGAGGAGAAGGCGGAGGAGGAGAAAGGGGGTGGAGGAGGAGGAGAAAGAGGATGAGGAGGAAGAGGAGGAGGAGGAGGTGCAGGAGGAGGAGGAGGACGAGGAGGAGGAGGGGTGGGAGGAGGAGGAGAGAGGAAGAAGAGGAGGAGGAGGAGGAGGAGGAATTCCCCTCGACGCTTGGTGCCCCCGCGCCGTGCACCATGACGCCGCCAGGCGCAGCCTCCAGCCGCCCTGGTACGCCCAGCACCTGCAACTCCCGCTCGAGGCACCTCTCCTGCGGGCTCCAAACGTATATACTGCCACCACCTCCATTCCCCTCCTCCTCCTCCTCCTTCTCCTTCTACTTCTCCTTCTCCTCCTCCTCTTCCTCCCCCCCCTCCTTGGTCTTCTCCTCGTCCTCCTGCTCCTGCTCCTCCTCCTCCTCCTCCTCCTCCTCCTTCTCCTTCTACTTCTCCTTCTCCTCCTCCTCTTCCTCCTCCCCCTCCTTAGTCTCCTCCTCGTCCTCCTGCTCCTGCTCCTGCTCCTGCTCCTCCTCGGTCTCCTCCTCCTCCTCCTCCTCCTTTCGAGCCTTTCGAACGCGGCCCAATGGTCTCCGCGAGACCGTGGCCGTGGTCCTCCTCCTCCTCCTACTCCTCCTTCCCTCCCGCTCGAGGCACTTCTCCTGCGGACCCCAAGAGTATGCACCCCCAGACATGCTCGCGTCTCAAAAAACAGAGCGGAAGTTGCTTGGGCGTTTTCGGCATCGGGGAGCCCTCGCCAGGCCTCGGGGCCGTCTCCGAGTAGGTGGGGTCGAAGACTGGCGCTGCATCGCCAATGCATCGCCAATGCATCGGCGATGCATCGGCAATGCATCGGAGATGCATCGGCGACGTCGGCGGTGCATCGGCGACATCGGCGCCAGGAAACATGGTCTCTACATCGAGCCGCATCGTGGATGCATCGGCGATGCGGCGCGACATGATCGCGCCCAGACATGATCGAGTCGTAAAAAGATCAGGACGAGAGGTCTTTGGCCGGTTTCGGCCTCGGGGGGCCTCCCAAGGCCTCGGGGCCGTCAAAAATGACTCGGGATGAAAACCGGTCCCGGGGAAAGGGTCGGGATCTCCAGCGACCCTGCATTGCAAACATCAGGCCGTCGCATGTCTGGGCACACACCGCCACCACCTCCCTTCCCCCTCCCTCCTCCGCCCTCCTCATCCCCTCCTCTCTCCTGGGAGAGGGGAGGGGGCGATAGGGAGATGGTGGTGGTGCACATGTTCTTGGGCCCCGTGTCTCCAGCCCCGGAGCGCTCACCACCAGCACGCGCCGCAGCCGCGGCCCGGACGCCGCCGCCGCGGCCAGCATCGCGGCCGGCCGCGACGAGGGCCACGAGAACTCCAAGGCTCTCGAAGACTCAGGGCGGGAAGAGAAGTTCGCGACGAGCGACGAGCGACTCGGGGTGACAAGCGGGTCCCGAAGAAGGGGTCGAGTCCCAGGGGCCCCGCATGGGTAACCACCAAGACAAGGCATCGGATCTCAGGGGAGGCGAAGGATGAGGGAGGGGGTGGGAAAGGGGAGGAGAGGGGTGGGGAGGGGGAGGGGGAGAAGAGCAAATGGAGGTGGAACATGGGGGGCGAGAGGGGGGGAAAAGAAAAACGTCGGGTGGGAAAATGAGGGAGGGGGGAGGGGAGTCGAGTCGGGACGGGGAGAAGGAGGGAGGGAGGGAAGGGCAGGAGGAAAAAAGGAGGACGAAGAGGCAAATGGCGATGATTGTGGCGGAAAAGGGCGGGCGACGACGACGACGACAACCGCCGCCGTTGCGGCGACGACGCCGCCGCCGACGACGACGACAACGACGACGACGACGCGCGCTTTGCTCCTCCTCCCACCTTTTCCACCGCCTCTGCCTCCCGAAGGGCGGCGTCACAGCCCACTATCATTGGAAGGAGTCGTCCAAAATGCGGTTTCAACAGGCTGTCCACGCGACGGTCGACTGCTTGATGAAGCTCCCCAGTTGGGACCGGGGCCCAGGATGCGGTGTTCTTGAGAAGTGCTCTTCGGCGGTGGACAAACCGCACTTCAGTAAACCACCGTTTCATGAAAACGGCCTATAGGACCGAAGCCGCCGGACCTGGACCCGCAGAAAGGACGGCCGCGGCGCCCTCTCGCGAACCGAAAACGGCCAGTTCCCCAATCGACGTGTCAGGGTCGGAGGTGCATCAACCTCCGATCCAACATGCCGTCTGGAGGGGAGGGGGGGGGAACACGAGCTCGTCGACGCACCCCCGAGGCCTCCGAGTTCTAGCGGGTGTGCACGAAGAGGCCGCCTGTGCTGTGTAGCCGGCGGCCGCTGCGCTGGCGCAGTGAATTGCCCCGCGCTGCCCCTTCGATGTCCCCGCTAGGCCCGCTCGCCACCCGCGCCACCCGCGTCGCGCGGGCGCCGTGCGGGGAGCCAGGAACAAGAAAGGTCCCACGGCTGTCCTACGGGGGCCGCGCAAAGCAACGACATGTTCCTCAGGTGGTCAACGACTTGCGGGACGGAGGGATTTTTTCCTGGAGCACTCCCCCAGCAAGTGCAGGACATCCACACTTGTTCCACAGTCGTTCCACCAGGTGTTCCACCCGGGGGGAAGTTGTCCCACTGCCTGGCCGCCCCACTGTCGGGCCACTGTCGGGCCCACTGTCGTGACACTGCCGCCCTCGCTGCCCAGTTGCTCCAGCTACGACAGTGCCCGCCCACTGCCTGGCCCCCTGTCTTGATAGCAGTCGGGTTTCGCGCCCTCCCCGACGCGCCGCGGGAAGCCCAAGGGCGGGCAACGGGGGCCCTGAGATGTTGGTCGCGACGAGCACGGCGAGGGAAGGAGGGGCTGCGGAGGGCGGTCGCGTGGGAAGGGACTGCGGG